GTGCAACTTTAGTAATTATAATCTTACAATTCAGGCAGAAAATAGGCTAATAGGTTAATTCCTTGTTTTTTTAAGCAGATAGGCTGAGCTGACCTTCATATGGCTCTGGCTCCATTTCTCTCCTAAAGGAAAATCAAATCAAATGCATAATCAAAATTCCCTAAATGTCAAACTGTTGCTTTAACAAAAATAACTTTTGGGTCTTCCTAATGTTATTATCTTCTCCAGGGTAGGGTCAGCTCTGCTGCAACCTCCCCCTTATAGCTGCTAGAAATAGTTGTGCTTAACAACTTTGTATCAGGATTTGACACCTCTGGGAGCTAAAGCCTCACTTTCCAAAGTTACTCCACCACCTACGCATTCTGCACTCTCACTGGAGAGAGGCAACAAATAAATGTATATTTGAAAGCAGATATTTGTCAGGCATCATGTTTCACTTTTTGTAGCTCTACGGTTGTTTTCCTGGAGGCTGTTGTGGCCAAGTAGTAACCTTATAGGCAAATACAAACTGAGGGAATATTTAACAAATGTGATGTGGTGTTTTGTTGCTGTCAAATGATAGTTTCACTTTTATTGTAGAAAAAAGCTGCATGAGCATGAAGCAGTCCTACACACACCGGGCAAGATGTTTGGATATATGCACACTTACTGCTCAGATGCATATTTTCATTTACATATGCCAGAGTGTGTAAACAGAAAGCAAAAGGTGGTGTTTTTGTGCAAAATTTCAGAAGAGCAGCCGTTCTGGTTTTTACTCTCAGGTAACCATGCAGTCCTTTATGTTCTTGATCATTCAGAAAGTTTTTTTTTTATATGAGAGTACAGTTTCTCCACAATATTTGTACAATATTATTCACAGTCAAGCATAACTAATAACACTAGCCAGATAGTATGGAAATGATGCCTTAATTTGCACAAGTTAAAAGCAAAAATCAGAAAAGCAAAGTCGGTATTTTACACAGGGAATATATAACGTATGTTCCCAATGTCCCGCGCTGATCAAACCACCCATACATGTACCCTGCATATACACAATGTGACAGGGTTTGGTGGCTGCAATGACAGCTTGAGCGTTTGTCAAAGCCAGAGTTTTAACCCACAGTTGGTTTACCCTGGAAGGATAACAAACATCATTCTAGGCCAACACTGCCTATGCCACTGAGGGGTTGTAGGTTCATGAGTGGGAGTGGCAACATGTAGGTTGGCAACAATGTTGAGATGAGTCAAACATTCACATAAATATCAGAGAATTCCCATCAGAACTTTGCAACTGCATATAAAATAGTAAACTGACACAGTTATAATCTGCATAGATTGCAGCAGGAGTTACCTCTAGAAATAAATGAGTTAAAGCTGATGATAACACCCTTGTTTTATGACTTTTCTACTGAGCAAACATGTTGTATATTGTCTCTTTGAATTGTATGAGTTTAATGTCAATTATGTTAGCTTTTGCTAGTAGCTAACAGCTCCATTCCACTACTGTTGACTGTTTTGGCTGATAGCTAAAATGAAAGAATAAATAACTCTCTTATCCATAAATTTTTCACAAAAAAGTAGGCTGATGTTTAAAGATATGTTGAATGCCAGTTTTCATAGTATAAGATAAACATAATATGACAAATCACTTATCTCAGGGCGTCATACTTAGAGCTGGTAATGCTAGCTTCTGAATTATTGCTGTTTGTATCTCAGCACTGCTTTGAAGTGAGCAGCAGATTTCTGTCATGACCCTCTGAACTTACAGTGAACTTCTCTCTTTTTCTTCCTGTCCGAGTGGCCTGCTGCTAACTCATTTTTCTCTCACAAAGTATTGATCTTTCTCTACCCGCTGCAGCTATGAATAAATCACACAAACGTGACAAAGGGACTGCTGTGGCTGGCAGACGCTGAAGGACTGAAGAGTAGGAGGAGGCTCTCAGCTATAGTAAGTTTAAACTGGGCTGTTTGAAGCAAGAGACACCCGGTCGCCATAACAGCTGCAGTGTTGGCTTGGTTAGATGGAACAATGGGGGAAAAAATTTGACATTTTTTAATATAACAGCTGTGCTTGAATAAGGGTTAATTTCTTGTGGTGCTTCTCTGTAAAAGAAACCATCACCAAGTGCTAGTAAATCAATTCAAGCAGGCGTTTTCACAGTTTTACTTTTCTCAGCATGTTTCATGGGAATAAAATCCAATTCGAACTGGATTTATCTATAGATGAGGTGGGATGACTTTGACATCAGTGAGGGGGTGTTTCAGGCAGTTATTCCTGCCTGAAACACATAGAAGGGTAATCTTTCGTGCATATTATTACAGCTGCAACTTCTCTACTTTTTCTCTATGATTATTTTATATTTTGACACCATAACTCATTTTTAAAAGCAAATGTCTAAGTAATAAAATAGGGGCTTCTGGGCAGACATCTTGGATATCATTCCGGAATTCCTCTTCTTTTTTCTCGGGTTTCTGCTGTCTGAGATATTCACTAAGCGCATAATCAGTGGTGCCCATCTTCCTAATATACTAATGGATCTTTGCCATTTCATCCTGAACAGTGGTTCTGACACTCACTAGTCCTTGACCTCCTTCTTTCTGCCCAGCGTACAGTCTCAGGGTGCTGGACTTAGGGTGAAACCCTCCGTGTATGGTGAGGAGCTGTCTCATTTTGATGATGATTTCTTGATTGCCCAGATCTTGTTCTTCCCATTCAGCTGACTCCTTGGGACTTGTCTTACTCTCTGCAGGTATTTGATGGTTGCAGCTTTCCTAGCATCCTCTTCATGGTTCCTATTTGCCTGTGGGATTCCCAGGTGCTTGGAGCTGTCTGCAATGTCTGCAATGTTGCGTTCTGGTAGTTCAATCCCTTCAGTTCTGACTACCTTCCTTCCACTTATCATCAATATCTGGAGCATCATCTGAAGCTTCAACAAGACTGGCTATGGGTACTGATATATATCAGTATCCATATGTTCTATTACCCACAACAAAAAAACATGATGATAAATACGTGTAAACACGATTTAATTTGAAAAAGGTATACAAATCAGATTATTTTACCTGCTTTATCAAACATATATAAGAATATAAGTAGATTCTTTAAAAAAAAAAAGATTTTGCATTTTGATATTTTCCACTAGACTTCTCATTTTGGTGGCCCTTTCACCAGGGTCAGCTGTGTTGTTTATCATCTGCTTCAGTCTAGCAGAGAGGTGGATTTATGTTTGTGCTGAGTAAGCACTTCCACAGCCACGCCCTGCCAAATCAAATGTCACACCATCTCCTGGGGTATTAATCACACTCCGACACACAAACACACACTGTCGGGCCCAGAAACATAAAGAAAGAGAGAGGAAAGGTCACACGAGCCCTCAAGTTTTCATAAGCATTTCATGCCTTTAAGAGTAGTATTCAGTCTTTGCATTCCAGTGTATGAGTGTATACATGTAATTACATACATGCTGTGATGCTGAAGTCTATACAATGCTATCATCTTTTTGACTTTTAACTGATTTTTTTATTTTTACTTTTTTTAACTAAGATTTTTACTTTCAGTTAATTAAAAAAATATATGCATAATTGTGTTTAAAACAAGTGTGTGCTTTGCCTTACTGCTCTTTCAAGTCCAGCATATACAATTTCAAAGCCTATATTATATCTTTCTTCAGGTGAGAAACAATCCTACCTCCAAAATGACATTTTTTTCTTTCCATTAAAATTAAACTACCATAAAAATGTTAGACTGTTCATTTCTTTGTAGCTCCCCTTCCTGGCAGTGTGGTATCTGCTTTAATCAGCTCAGTAGGTTATAATATTATATAATAACAATAATAATATAATGCATAATATTAGCATCTTGGATTTGAGCTTAGATCAGGTCATAGTTTCGTTAAAACACACAGCTGCTGAAGGAATCACAAGATATTAAACAGGACTGATTTAAAGTCTTGGCTGCCTTCATCCCCCCCATTTCTATGTGAAAAACTATATATAGCCTAGCTGCAAGCAGTAGCCTATTACTATCAATGCACTTTCAGATGCTCAAGGAAAATGCGCAACTGCCAAGCAGTGAGAGGTACAACCACACTACTGCGATATGTAAAGAGGAGCCTGCTTGCAACAATTATTTTCAAATGTGTTAATGCGTGACTGCAATTACAGATCAATAGATTCCAGCTAATCATAATATATCCAGGTTATACCCATGAAGGTGACACACCTATGATTATAGCCTTTAGTTTTAACAGTCCTGGGTCTTTCACAGCAATCTGTCATAGAGGGATTTTCCACACAGTAAAAAGAAGATTTTTAGCTGCAGCTGTAAAAACAGAAATATGACACAGAAATTCCTTACTATGTTTACATCATAGTAGTCTTTACCAAAAAGAGAAATGATTAACAAAAACACTTTAAATTCAGTGCACCAAACACTGAGATGGTCAGAAGTAGGAAACTTGTGCAGTCTTAGCGATGTGGGCGATCGTGGCTCAAGAGTTGGGAGTTCGCCTTGTAATCGGAAGGGTGCTCGTTCGAGCCCCGGCTCCGACAGTCTCGGTCGTTGTGTCCTTGGGCGAAACACTTCACAGCGAAACACAGCAAAACACAGCAGCACACCAACATCTGGTTTGTTTGTGAAAAGCAATTTTAGTCAGAGAGAAAAGCAAACAACATGACAAAGTTTTACAGCTTTGAC